AATGTAATAAATAATAATACATACAATACATTAAATGATTTTTGAACATCCAAACGTAAGATGAATGTGATATTTTTTGGACTATTAGTTGATAAACTTACAACTATTCCACTCTCATTGTTGGAAGCACTTAATAATGGACAAAGTATATGAGCGGCTTTGTAATATCTAAAAAAAATTATTTAAGTTGTTAGATTATAATTGATAAGTTAGGGTAATAGGTTTCATAAATAGAGCATGTAAAATCTATAAAATATGAGATTCTAGATTGTTCAATGACAAAATAATAATCAACAAACATTTTTTTTAAATGTTATTTAAGTCCAAATTTTATCTTATTGCTAGATTTGTAATTTATTTTCCTGTAGATATAGAAGAATAACACATACTTTATTTCTTGTTGTTTTCCTGGAAGTTGCCATGATATCACTCCAGAACGATGTCTTACAACAACTATTAAAGGATCTATAATATCATTATTTTCTGGCTCTACTAATGTGACCTTAACTCTTGGTGGCTCAAAAGTTGAATTCTGTTAAATAAATAATATAATTAAAATATAATTTTTAAGCAATAAAGTTAGATAACAAATACATTTACCAGCAAGTAATCATAAAGAAATAAATACGAAACAGTGCTATCGATAATTGTTGGGTAATTTTGGGAATAATTTCCCTTCAAGACAATGGGTATAAGATCATTTGACTTGTAACTTGCATATTTTTCATATTTTTCACTCCACACTGATGCCAGACCAAACATAACAATAAGCAATGGTTTCCACATTTTGATGAATTATTGTAAAAAAATATTTAAATGTAATATTTAGTTCTTTTTTACTATTGTAAATAAATATAATTGAATATAATGAATTTGTTTAAAATTCATGAATAATTGTTTTGAATACACAATATTCAATTACATCAAGCTGTTCACAGAAAACTATTGTTTGCTGAGGTCTATCGTGCGATTAATGATCATTAACTATTAAAAACAAAAGAAAATAATTAAGTTTGAATAATAAGTAATAATACAACACTATTCAATAATATTTACTTTTTCTAGTTTCAAAGTGTGTTATCATTTATCAAGTTATCTGAGCAAACAACAGCTGCTATAATCAATGAACTTATCATAGAACAATGTCTTATTCTTCACTTAGGGCTATCGTGATTCATGAAATCGTGCTCTAAGGTCGTAGTATATAACTGATGTAATCATGTAGGTATTAGGTAGGTAGCTGCAGTTAATAGCTATAGTAGTATAGGCTTTTATATATTTATTATATCGGTATACACTCTTCAAGTATTTAACTATAACTTATAAGGTCTACCGTCTGGCGTCTACACGGCGTCTACACACTCTAGACGTCTATTTTTTTGTATAGTACTTACTCTACCTATTTTATAATAGTTAGAAAACAAATCCAGGAAAAAAATCTCCGGTATTAAAATTAAGACAAAATGCAAAAGGGCATGGTAAATTTAATTTAATATAAATATTTAAAAATAATATATTTATAATTTGTATAATAAATAATAATAGCATCACCTAATTGAATATTAAAATATTAAAAATTAAATTCATTGTTTGTTAACAATGTTAATGTTAAAAAATTGGTATCGAAAATATAACCACCAGGATATTTTTTMGCGATTCCTAGACTATTCAGAGATCGGGAGATATAAAATAAATAAATTAACATTTGATGTTAATTTTTATATTTATTATATTTGTACATAACTTATATGGACCCTAATTTCAATATATTATATAAAGGCTGATCTCTTATATTAGAACATTAGGTAGGTACTTAAAATAAAAGGATGTGATAGTGTGATAGCTCTATTATGCCTATTGCTATCAAGGTAAATATTTATATTAGGTAGGTCTTAGGTAATTAATATATTATGGAGCCTTCGATAGGTAATGCAACGCTGTGGAATGATAAAACATGTTCTAAAATGCATCGTATCGAATGCATCGAATGCGTTCTGTCATCGAATTGTCTGATGGATGTGCGCTTATTCAGACTTCAAGGCTTCAAATGTATTTCATCATACATAGATACAACTATACAAGTACCTACAATACTTTAATAGCACCGACGCACCTTTAAAAATAATTTCCTTTCCTTTTTGTTAAGTATTTATAGTAGACAACATTGGTAGGCGGTACGTAAAAATGTATTATTAAATATACGTTTGCTGTCTCGTATTGTATCCATGGTTTTGACGAGAAAAAAAATACAAAATTATTATTTATAGGTAAGAGGTAACTTTTCTTTTACTTTTGGGATATTTTAATTCCCAAAAATAGTACCTATCTTTTATTTCTTTTTGCAACAATTTTAAAATTTTAAAATGTAATAATAATAATATTTATGAATTTATAATTGATGGGATTGAATTTGATTTTACTATAGATATATTATGTATACATTAATCCATAGAGTACTATATAGCCCATGTTAGCCAGGTAAATTATTTTTAAAAAGTAATTAAATTACGTTACATTAAATATTTTTATTAAAATTACATTCGCGTCATGTTTCTTTTTCGTTTAAAAATTAAGGCGTTACAAATAAAATTACTTTTTTAAAAATAAATTACAAAATCAGTCCATACTCCATATCGACTAATAAATAGGCAGTAGTTGTACACATATTATACCTACTATTAGTTATTAAATAAATTAGTAGGTATAGAAATAACATTGATGATTATGCATTATTTTCTGGGATATTGTATATTAATTTATTATTATCTATAACTTTCGGAATCATAAATACATTTTATTAATTCTTAATTTTTCCCGAATATCATATTCTTTAGCTTTTGACTTTTGTCAATTTGTCATATATTCATAACTTATTTTAATCACATGGAAACTAACACGTTACTCTGTAGAAAATAGGTATACTTTTTTAAAAAGTAATTTCGTTACAATATAATTCAATAATATATATAATAAAATTACTATAGCGTTACTGAAAAAGTAACTTCTTTACAGTAATCTATAGTTTGCGTTTTATTACTACTCAACTCTGGATATATACGTATTTATGGACGGTAGACAGAATTACAGAATTACAGAAACACTAGAAACAGTAACTATATTTATCTACAAACTACTCTCTTTATAATAATTATAACAGTTGGTGTAACTACGTTACATAATATTCGCACAAAAATACTAAATGTCTAAATTAGTGATATATAAGTACTGCATTATTTATAATATACATAAATGTATAACAATGTATATTTATGTTGTATATTAATTGTATAATATAATTTGTCTTTATGGTTAACTTAATCATATATGATATGTGTATACTTAATACTTATGACCTATGGATTTATGATGATATTTTTTTTAAAGAAACTGATTTTCATCTTCAAACCAGTCAGGTTATTGAAAAATCGTTTCCGTTGCATGTTGCGGATCCAAATCACCATCTATATTGGCAGCTAATAATGAATACACTATAGAAATAACTATAACTGCGTAGAACATTAATGTGTTTTTAAACTTATAAGTTATAATTCAACTAATATAAATTATAA